CATCCCTGCCTCTTTGACCTGTCTGTCTCCTCTCCACCTATCTTCTCTATCCATCTTCTACCCGCCTCCCCCTCTCTCCCTATCTATTTCAGAACCTCCTTCCCCTCCCCCATTTCTGAAGAAGGGTCTAGGCCCAAAACGTCAGCCTTCCTGCTCCTCTGATGCTGCTTGACCTGCTGTGTTCATCCACCTCTACACCCTGTTGTATCGGAGTATTAAAAATTAAGTTATTTAAACAATTAACTGGACACTTGCAGTAGGATAACTTCCTCCATCATGGAGGAAGTTATTACATAATTATCAAGCATCCCAACTTCCTCCATCATGGAGGAAGTGGGGATGCTTGATAATTATGTAATGTTCAATATTATTTGGACTGCTTCAGCATCCTAACAGTTGCATGTTCAAATGCAACAAGACCTGGACAGTATCCAGGCTTGGACTGGCAAGTAACACCACAGTCTCTTACTGGGGATAGTCAAGGGGTGGTGGTTAAGTTGACTCATTAAAACTGAATTCCCCATCAACATCTTGGGGCTGGCCAGGTGGTGAACTGGACACAAATCAAAGGATAGGAATGCTGCAGCAAGTTACACACCTGTCTCCCCAAAGCCTGTCCACAGGACACAAGTCAGGAGTGTAATGGAATATTCCCCACTTGCTTGGAGGAGTGTACTCCTATACTAGATGCTTGACACCATGCAGGCCAAAAGCAACCTGCTTGATTAGCACCATATCCATGCTATGACACAAGTGGATGCAGTGTACACTAGCCACAAGATGCAGAGAAATCAGTTAGTGATTTTAGGCAGCACCTTCCAAACTCAACCACTTCCATTTGGAAGAGGGAAGCAGATAACATGGAAACACTGCAACCTCCAAGGTTCCCTGAGCCAATCACCATCCGGACTTGGAAATGTCATTACTGGGGAGTGCATTCCAGGTTTTGCCCCAACAGCACTATGGGCCTACCTACTGCACACAAATTGCAGTTCAAGGTAACACTTACCAACCTCAAGTGCAACTAGAGATGGGTAATAAGTTATGGTAAGATATGCAGATACAATCTGGCCAGGATGTGTTGTGCTCACCATGTTCAGCTGCTTCAATGACCTTCCCTTAGAAGGATGAAGGATGTAAGTGTGACTGTTCAAATGCAATTCATTAACATCTACAAAGTTTGGATATAAAAAAGTAGTGCATCCTAAGTGACAAGTGTGGAAATAATCAGTAGTTAAAAATACAATCTTCCAATGAAATTTAGAACCAGAGTCATAGACTGGAGATAGACTTCAGTCCAAAATCCCAGACTAGTCTGTTCCTGACCTATATCCCACCAAACCTTTCCTATTCATGTACATACTCAAGTCCTAAATGTTGTAATTGTACCCACATCCACCACTTCCTCAGGAAGTTCATTCCACGTGAACCACCCTTGACTTTCAATCTTTCCTCTCGCACCTTAATGTGCCCCCTAGTCTTAAATCACCCATTCGGGGGAAGCATACTACCAACTAACTATATCCCTTGTTTTAGGAACTCAGTGACACTTTAAACTCCTGTACTTCAGTTTTAAAATCCCAGCCTTTTATAAAAAAAAAAATTCTACACCTGGCAAGTCTGAATTATTGATAAGAAAAAAAAAAAACAGGCCAGCTATATAAATGAGATTGGAGGCCAAGAAATTCTGTAGCATGTACTCACCATATTCCAGAAAGTTTGACACCACCCAGGCAAGTTATACAGATTAACTGGTACCCATCCACTACCTTTAAATTTGCTTCTTTCAATGCACTTTAGATGCGAGTACTGCCACCTCAGATGTTCTAAACAAAGTTAGCACATTCTGAAATAGTAACCCTTCTCCAGAAGGATTGCTTTGCTAAAAAAAAGCCACAAAACACTCAACTGATCTTAGTGGAAAAAGCTGTTTCACGTCAAAGGTAGTTTACTTTGTTTCTCTGGAGGATAGTGCAACCCATGAGACAGTTGTATTTGCTGATTATCCATCTATGTGTTGTTGTCATCATGGCCCACTTTAGTGAAAGTGCAATTATATAGTTTAAATCCTCAAAGTAATGGAGCAAATTCAACATCCCTTTGAGGATCAATAAAAAGGGCCTCGGAAGGTAGTGGTAGTCTACTTCTGATAGAGAAGGTCCCAGCTCCACGTGTCATAAAAATGTCTGACTAGGTTGATGACTTTGGCTATTACAGCTTTAACCATTGAATTTGTTTCAGTAACATACCAAATTCAGTCTCAAGAAAAATTAATCCTGCTTTACACAAAGTCAAGCCATTTTTTTTTTTATTGAGTATGCAAGTTAGACAAGACAGTACAAAATGATCTTAGAACTGGGAATAAAAATAGCTTAGAGTTTACAGCACTTTTGCTTAGTGTACACAAATGCTTAGATTCAAGAGTTTTGCATTGGTAGCCTATAACAGATGCAATATTTCAATTTATAAAGATATTTTAATACAAATGGGAGGGCTGAAAGCAAAGTGCAAAAAATCAAACTCAGACCACCTAGTTTAGTGCATCCATGTTCAAACTTCTGTTTACTTTAGAATATGTAAAACAGACAAATGAGTATGCTAACCCATATAGAAATCACTTGTACATGAAAATGCTGGTGTAGTGCAAATGTTTGAAGCTTGTTAGAGAAATACAGCAAAAGTGACAAGACTAGCATAGAAAGTAATTCAGACTTTAGTACAGTTTAATTCTACCTACATACACTTCAGATTAAGTTAACCCTTTGAACTACAGTAGCCAAAAATACTGCAATTTCAGTTCCAATCTCTTGGCACTGTAGAGTTTAAAAGTTAAGATGCAAAAGTTTGGTTTAAAACCAAAGTGCATTAGCCATTTAAAATTCTTATGGTTCCATTTTATACAATCCCTAGTGAACAAGCAATAAATCGCTCACTTAAGTGAGTTACCCCCCCCCCCCCCCAATCATTGGGTGCTTCCCTCAGCTCCCACCCACCTGCTAATCTCCACACCCTTGTATTATCTTGTGCATCATCTTAATGAAAAGCTACCTACAATGAAGGTGCAGACATTCACTCTTGCAATTTATATCAGGGCTTCCTGAATCACCTAGTGAATTACCCTCAAGTGAAACTACAGCTGAAGCAATAGCAAGTTCCCATGATATGGCTTAAAAAGGTTACTGCAGCTCAGGTGAAGTAACTTTGGTGGAATCCTAATTCTGGAGGAGTTAAAATTTGAGTATTTACATTTTCTTGAAAGGATTCTTTTTTCAATGGGTCAACAGTATTAGACTTGACAACTTTAATATAAAAGATTGACAAAGTTTAGCATAAACTGGAATAATGATATTTACAAAAATCACAATTATAAATACATTAAATTTAGACTACAGAATCAATTTCTTGCCACATCAAGTATATTGGTCTCAGCATTTTCATTGTCTTTGCAGAAGGTTCTTGGGACACCCACTTTGCCTTTTCCCCCCTGCTGCAACAGTCTTTGCAAAGCTAAACTTTAGTGTGATACTGAAGGGCTACATTTGCACTATGAACTCAGGTTCCCATAAATGATAGCAGGAAGAATGCAGAAATAAGCCTTCATTGCAACTAAATTCAAAAGCAAGCCATTTTATGACTTGCTTTGATCAATGTGATTACATAAACATGACCAGACCAATTTACTTTACACATTTTATGTTAACTATCTCACATTGTAGTGCACTCTATTTTCCTAAACTAGCCCCAAATTATCTAGAATTGACAATCGGCACTAAAGTTTATTTGCAAGTACAAGACACAGCAATCATGTCCTTGTACTCCTTGTACACAATGTGATCATTTTGTTCCTTCAGAAGGACACTAATTGGACTGTATTTCAGAGGGACACAAGATGGACGGGGCACATTTTTATCAACAATTTCATTAATAAAATTCTGCACTATGGCATGATTTGGAGAGTGGTAACCATAGTGAAGAATTCTAGGACAGTCTCCCCTGCAGAATTTTGGATTGTACCTATGAGGAGCCACAATCCAATGATCCCAACCCAATTGGGCAAAGCTTACCCAGAATGAATGGAGCTCGCATTTGTTCCTTGGAGGACTTTTCTTAAGATAGTTAGGAATGACTGAGCCAATGTTGCTTAGTTGTCGTGGCTTCCTAGACAGCACACGGGATTTGGATGAACCCTCCAGGGATTGTGTTTCTGATTTTTCCTGTCTTTGATGTGCAGTTTTATCAGTGTCATTTAAATATAGTAGCAGAGAAGGCACTTGTAAACGGACAGCATAGTTTTTTCTTTTGTCCAGAGTTCTTTCTTTGACTTTTCCAAATTCAGCACACCTGTAACTGATGTGCAGATCAACTTTCTTCACAGAATTACCAGTTGGGAGAAAGACACAAGGAGTTACATCAGCTTCTGCCCATCGTTCATTCAGGTTTAATATAAACCTTATGGGCAATTCTACATCAGTGACATTCTGTATGAAATTTAGATTAACATAATTCGCAAGGAGACATCTGATTTCACAAGAAACTAAAAGTTGATTGGCAAGAGGACTGTGCAAATAGACAACAACAACTTTAATCAAGTGCTCCAGCTCCGGAAGATAATGCAGATTGTATTGAACGTGATGCACATGCCAATTACCTAAAAAAAAGACAGACATTGGAATATTAGTGTGGGAAAGAGCACATCTTACTAGCAATTTATAAACTTACTTTTCAACCATTTCCTAGTAGGATGGAGTAATCTAGGATCTGCTACTGCAGACCAGCTAAAGTCTAAGACAGAGGATAGTGGTGTTCCAAAGATACTGGAACATTGATTTAGTATTCAAAATTCAAGCCTAAAGGATACTTAAATTTCAAGCACAGGGTAATTAACATGTTTGAAAGAGTTCGCATTAATGCCATTCATTCTTACACTCTTCAGTATCTAGAGAAAAAAAATGACACTGGAACACCCAAGTCTTGAATTCAAGTGGAAGCCACCAGGGAGATAAAGATTATTGTTCAAATAGAAGAAGATGGTTAAATTCAAGATTCATATTTTCAGACATTCCATTTTAATTCCAATAACCACATAAAACATTCCACTGCTTTGAAGGCAGAATGTACATGTACATTTTTATGTATACTGGACTGTGCAGTATCCCCAGAGGGAGAGATGGATTCACAGGACCTTGGCAAAAGGTTTAAAAAAGTGATTAATCCTCAAAAAAAAAAACATTGAGCTAGTGAGATTCTGCAGAAGCTTACAGGTGGCATTGGTTAAATATCAGCTATAACTTGAATTGCAAAGTGCTTTTGCAAATCCTGGGTTTAAAATCAAAACTAAGTTATCCCAGCTCTAAAAAAAGTTGTTGACTGTAGTAGAGGCTAGACGCACTACCCACGATTACAATTCGCCAATGCAGTTTGAAAGACATTGATCAATAATACGATGCTTTCATCGAACTCAAAGCCAAGTTTCTAGAGGACGTTGATTTACCGGAGTCGGCGAGCAGGACACTTGCACTGGGTTTCACCAACCGAATGGTGTTAGTCATAATGGTCCGGTTAACTTTAGGCTTCCCATCTCGATCTGCTAACTGCTTGTAGAGAGTGGCCATGTATTCCATGTGTTGATCATCCATCCCCTGTTTCGAGGGCAGCGGAGGACGGGGACTAACTTTTCCAGCCAACATCTCGATGAGGGGACCCAGGTCTCTAATCTCCCTCTCGGCAGGCGCTTGTTTCTCCCCAGCTCCTCCATGTAAAGCTACAAGCTCCAGGAAACAGATCAAAACTCGGAATACGTTACGATTCCGAATCATCGCCCAGCACATGTTAGCTGCTAATGGTATCATCGTACAAGTTTCTGCAAATAAGGCAGAACCATAGCTCTGAGGCACTACTAAACTCCAACAGACTACTCGCAAGGCTCCATAAAGCAGTTTGTGCAAATTAGCTCCTCATTAAGGGGATCTCATGTGATATGATTGAATCGATCCATTGTCAGTGACGTATTTAATTTCCATTGGCATAATTTAATGACTTTGATCAGATTGGTGGCACGATTATATTTGTTCAATGTGAGGCGATTTTTTTATGATAAAGGAGTTACACTTTTGGTATTTAGTAATTTATGACTTATTGTGTCCAGATTTCAGAAAGTACCTGGTTAAAAGCCAATTACATTCTTAATTATCTTAAAAGGGACTTTTCATCAGAGCTTGGCGGTCTCCGTAATTGGAGCATCAACATTGGACAAGGATATTTTCACGTGCGATGTTATTGACCATTCTAAAATGTCTCGATATTTCACAAATAGGTTAATGGCCATTGATTCCAGTATCGCAATTTGAGCTTTTCCTTTGCATCTTCACCTCCCGTGTTAGGTCCAATATCTATATTTCAAGGGGGAAAAATTTTTGTCTCTAAACATGGTGACTATCGATAGTTAACTTTTGTTAGAAAGCCACTTCGAAGTCCTGATAGAAGGATTGAATGATCTTTATTGCGTGTGTGAGCTGTTCAGTTGACATTGATTAGTTATCATATTAATAAAGAATCTACCGTTTAAATATTGTAAATTAGAATTTTAACGGAAAAGTATTTTACGTACATTACTTTGATAAAAGGGAACTTGCAAAATACCTGTCTAAAGTATTCTGTTTAATTCCTCATTCTTTTACATATTATATAGCTCATTTCCCCGCACCACGAACAGCATTCTAAATGAAAACCGAACTGCGGATGCTGTAAATCAGAGACAAAAACAGAGACTGCTGGAAAAGCTCAGCAGGTCTGGCAGCATCTGTGGGGAGAAATCAGAGTTGACATTTCGGGTCGAGTGACCTCTCCTCTGATCTTCCTCAGAACGATCAGCATTTTCTTTCTTTACTGTCCAATATTTAAGCTGATGTTGAGACAAAATATTTTCAGGAAAACTTTAAAAAAAAAACAAATTTTATTCAGAGGGTTAGTGATGGATGAACCCTCAGCTGCCAAAACTCAATATAAACCCTGACTGCAAGAAACTTTTCTACTTTTAGTATGTCACTAAGCATGAATAATACTTGCTAATTCCTGATACAGAACTCAAATTGGCATCAGAATATGAGGAGAAAGCAGGAGAATGTCATACACCCATCCAGTCTGCTCCATCATTCAATATAATCATGCCTGATCTTGGCTGTGGACTCCACTCTCCCAACCACTTTGCATATCTCTTGTTTTCCTGACAAGCCACAAACCTGTACAATTTGGTATTAAATATAATCAGTGATGATGCATCCATAACCCTCTTGAGCACCATACTTGCAAAGTATTTGTCTAAAGAATTCTGTATACTTCCCAGTATGTTACGAAACCTATAAAGTCAACTATATAGTAACAACTGTACGTTCTTCCTTTTGAATGTTTTTAATCAACTGTTCCAACATATTATGACACACCTCTGAAGCATATGGGACTTGAACCCAGGCCTTTGGCATAGACATAGGGACACTACCACAGTGCCTCAAGAGCCTGATCTCCTGCCTTTAAGCTGATAGTAAATATCAATCATTAATTTGTTATATGGCTGTAAAAATATTTTGTCATCTTGATAAAAAGATTGGAGGACCATGGTTGGCTGTATGTACTGTTCAGTTAATATTAGAATAGTCATCATATTAATAAAGAAGCTGCCATGAACAAAATTATTCATAATTTTCTGATTTAAAATGATAAACATATATTCATATGATGCTCTTCCTGTCAAAAAAGACATCTTAGTTTTTTATTATAAGTTTTTTTTATTATTCATTCATGTGATATAGGCAGTACTGACTAGATCAGTGTACATTGCCCATCCATAATAGCCATAAGACATAGAAACAGAAATTAGGCCATTTGACCCATCGAGTCTGCTCTGCCACTCAATCATGGCTGATAAGTTTCTCAATCCCATTTTGCCGCTTTCTCCTTGAAACCTTTGATCCCCTTCACAATCAAGAACCTATATATCTCCATCTTAAATATACTGAATGACCTGGCCTCTACAGCCTTTTGTGGCAATGAGTTCCATAGATTCACCACTCTGTCTGAAGAAGTTTCTCCTCTTCTCTGTTCTAAAGGGTCTTCCCTTTATTCTAAAGCTGTGCCCTTGGATCCTAGTTTCTCCTGCTAATGGAAACATCTTCCCAATGTGCACTGTGTCCAGGCCATTCAGTATCATGACTATTACGACAGGGCATAATTTTAAGGTGATTGGAGGAAGGTATAGGGGAGATGCCAGAGGTAGGTTCTTCACAGAGAGAGTGGTGGGCGTGTGGAATGCGCTGCTGGCAGTGGTAGTGGAGTCAGATACTTCAGAGACTTTTGGATAGGCACATGGAGGATAGTAAAATATAGGGTATGCAGGGTAGATTGATCTTAGTAGGATAATAGGTCGGCACAACATTGTGGGTCGAAGGGCCTGTACTGTGCTGTACTGTTCTATGTTCTATGTTCTATTCTGTAAGTTGTTCAGTATTCTCCCAGAGAAAATGTTAATGAGTCCCTTCTTGAATTCTGGTGTTCTTGAGGCTAGGTTAACTGGCAATGTTGTTAGAAAAGGATTTCAAGGATTTTGATCGATATAATTTAAAATCAGGATGGTAGTGCTTGGAGGGGAGCTTGCAAGTGGTAATGTTCCCACACATCTGCTGCTCTTGCCCTTCCACATGGTGGAGACTATTGCCTTTTTGGTTCTGCTTTCTAATTTAGCCCCTATTTGCTTACATTCCCTCAGCAGAACCTCTTTCCTGTTTCTCCATGTATTGTTGCTACCAACATGGACACAAAAACTGAATCTTTCCCTTCCACTCCAAGCTCCTCTGCAGACCAGATGAGATAGCCTAAACCCAGGCACCTGGTAGGTAAGACAGCCTTTGGGACTCCCGATCCTGGCTGCAGACAACAATGTCTATTTCTCTGACTATTACTATCACCAATTACAAATACATTTCTCTTCCCACCCCCGCCCTCCAATTCTTGAATAGTTCCCTGTACCACATTGCTATGGTCAATTTGCTTATCCTTCCTACAGGCCCCACTCTCATCCACACAGGGAACAAGAATCTCAAGCTCAAGGGCTGAGGCTCCTTCGGCATTACCTCCTAAATCCCCCAACATGCCTCGCTCATAGTCACACCTTCCTATGGCTAATCACTGATCAAGTTCAAGATAGTTCATCTAAGGTGTGTGACTGCCTCCTGAAACACAGCGTCCAGATAATTCTCTCCCTCACTGGTGTGTCACAGTGTTCAAAGTTCGGACGGCAGCTCAACAACTTTGACCCAGAGTTCCTCAGGTTACCATCACTTGCTACAGATGTGGTCACTATGAATCACAATGGGGTCCACCAGCTCCCACATCATGCAATTACAATACATCACCTGGCCCTGTATCTCTATTTTAATTATTTAGTTCTTAATTTGATTTGTAAAAATTTTATACTGGTCTTTTAGTTTGTAACCTGAAAATAGTAACCTATAATAGATAGTTAAATTAGTAGCTATCACCAACCAATGAATTTACGATTTACCTTTGATGTCACTCGTTTGTGCATAGCCCGATCCTGGGCTTCATTTTGTCCCCTTTAAAAATAAAACTTACAGACTATGAGTCAAAAAAGAGCAAAATGTATCTCTTCTCCTCTGCAGCAAATTCCTGTGCTGCCTCCAAATTTCCCAAACTATATTCTCACATTAGCAGAAGAAACTAGGACTATATACTTATGTGGGCTGTGTCTCACTCTGGATGTGGTTTCTCCCTCCAGACTGTGCAAAGCTTATTGATCCCAAGTCAGGAGGACTGATCTGGATCCCTTTCTTCATACACTTTATCCTTGATTGGGTAATAGGAAGGTTAACTTACAAAGGATTCTTTCCCCTGTGGATAGTTTCCTCTCAGAATAAATGAAGTAAGATTTAAGAGAAGCCAATTTAATCAGGTTTCCTTCAGGTAACAAAAGAAAAATTTCATTAGTTACAAAATGTGAGAAAAAAAGAAAACAAATGCACATATTACAAATAAGGAGCAAGTCCAAAAAAAGAAGTTTAAAAATAAATATATATGGTTCAATCCCAGAGTCATTTGTGAAGAATAGACAGTAGAATGCTGTAGCTATTAAATGGAATGGTAACAACAGTATTAACATTGGTGGTTAATTTCAAGATTCTTGGCTTTTCAAACGGCCCGAAACGTCAGCCTTCCTGCTCCTATGATGCTGCTTGGCATGCTGTGTTCATCCAGCTCTACACCTTGTTATCTGAAATTCTTTTGTTCTGGTTCCTTTCAACAGAGGCTGTCTGGCAGAACACAGATTGAGAGACAATTTTTTTTCCTTTCTTTATCTGCAGTGCAGGAATTTTTAATGGCTGTTCCCAAGCTGTGACCTTCGTAACACATTGACCCACACTCTTTCTGATGAAGGGTCTAGGCCCGAAACGTCAGCCTTCCTGCTCCTATGATGCTGCTTGGCCTACTGTGTTCATCCAGCTCTACACCTTGTTATCTCAGATTCTCCAGCATCTGCAGTTCCTACTATCTCTGACCCACACTCTAGCAGTCTTGTGATTTTTTTTAAACCCTTTTTTGTAAATCCCTGGAAGGGTGAAATACAAACCTGACTGCAAGAGAGATGTATGTTGTCAGTCTCTCATCATCTTTTCCTTGTCAGTTTTTCAGTTTGAAGTTTCCCTCACCCTGTACAGGTGTGAGATCCCATGGGTCCACAGAGACTCTGCCAGACAGTTACTGAATTCATATCCATAGTCCACTTTGGCAGTTGCAGTGTTCTTCTGAAAAATAATGTATTGAAATTAAAAGTTTGATATGTCAGCTAGCCAGACACTTTGAAGGAACATTACTGGCATGTATGTTTTTAAGGGGAAATCACGATTAGCCATCTTGGCGGAACATTTTTTGAAAAGGTAACTGATTTTCAGGATAATGCTGCTGATGTGTGCATGGACTTTCAGAACATGT